TATTTCCCTCTTTCCCTTTAAGAGCAAGTGGAGAAAGACACTTGGTAGGGCTGGTTGTAACATGCTGACTCATCCGGGATACCATAAGACCGAAGCGACTTGAAAAAGTGATTATATCTGTGACATCGTGGAAAACAATAAAAAAATAAACTCGCAACATGCGTGAGACCAGAGAAGCAGCTGGGTTCATGCTCCTACCCCACAGGCCCTCCTATCTCTAACTGTTTTTAGATTTTATGCATAATTTTACCTTCTTATTTATTATGGATTTTATTTTGTGTAGTTACTTTTATTTCTGGCTATGGCAGCCCTGATATCAGCCTGAAAGAAAGATTTCTGTGTTTATGCTATTTTAGCAGTTGGTTTTCCCTGTGTTTTGACTGGGACCAGGGCATTGAAGCTCTAGGCACTTCATAAGGATTCAAGGATTTACACTTCTCTCCTACTCAAGGCAAAAGCTTCCAAAATGTGTTTGCTTTCAACTTTCATTTTAGTTTCACGTAATGTGAAGAAGGGAAAAGGGTCCTACCCATTGTAACAGCAGGTCCTTGGCGTGTCCACAGGTAGATCTGTTTTCCACAGCATTCAGTATGTAGAGTGTTTGGTGGTTTTACATGAAATATTATTGAACGACTTTGCACGTGAACAAGGAGTGTTTCATAAACTTTAGGAAGTGGATATAGATTGAGTTAGACTAGAAAAGCATGTCACTCTGCAAGAGCCTCTAAAATGTGTTAAAAATCATGAGGAAATAAAAATAACTACATAAAGTAAAATACATAATAAATAAGAGGGTAAAACTATTACATAAAATTTAAAAACAGGTTTGTGTAGAACTGGATGACTATGGGTATATGAGAGAGAGAAGGGGGAGGGAGTAGGAAGAGAGAGAATAGAGACTGTAAATTCACTTGTGGATGTGCAGTGTTGTGCTGAAATGAAGCGTCAGAAGCCAGACATATAACAGAACAGGTGGCTGACATGGCTGCTAAATGAAGATCCTCCCTCCCATATCTCCAAGCACAACAGGTAACATCACTGCCTATTTTAATATTGTCCCTGGGGACTTGCTTTCATAGCATAAGGACACCCTCACCAGGGCTTTCTAATATGTAAAGACATTCTATGTAAAAATTGTCAATCTCCACATGTGAAATAACATTGCATGTTTCTGAAAATTGGAACAATTTTTATTTTTATGACATTTCTTGGGGTGACAATGGTTATTTAATATACAGATCTTGTAATGTGGGACAGTTTTTGAAAGGAATGATTCCCGACGTGAGATGGTGACAGTCCCTGTGTTACCCAACCATAACAGGGATGTAAGAGTCAAGCACTTTTTTGGGTAGAAAAAAATATTTTGCTGGAAGAGAGAGAGACTGAAAATGTGTTGGTGCATAGGAAACACTATTTTCTTTGTGTGCACAAGGTAAAATGGAGGACATATGAAATTAAATCATATAAGGAAAATGTGATAAGTGGGCGTCGAAAATTTTAGATACTCTTTAGTATACAGTATGAGTGGCTCTGTAATGCAGTAATGACAGTTTACCCAGGAGCTCATGACTGACAAGACACTAAATAGTTGTAGCTATCTGTGCATGTCGAATAGTTTTGCCATATTACATTTTTGAAAAATCTTCCTCACTTATTTAAAAATTAAAAAAATATTGATTTTAGAGAAGGAGGCAGGAGGAAAGAGAGAGAGAGAGAGAGATGTTGGTTTGTAGTTCCATTTATTTGTGCATTCATTAGTGGATTCTTGTATGTGCCTTGACCTGGAATCAAAATTGCAACCTTGGTTTATCGGGATGATGTTCTAACCAATTGAGCTACCTGGCTGCGGCTCCTCTTCCTTCATTTTAAATATTTAAGCTCTTTTTCAGGTTAGATAAAGTCAATGCAAGTGCTATCTCCCTAAGATATCAGAAAAATTTGAGTATATTTAAAATGTCTTGATATTTTCTTATGCTCATGAATTTTATTTAACTTTAAGATTACAAGAAATATAAATATAATGATAAAACCAGTAGAATTACAATTGACAACATTAATTTGACAGGTGATGTTTGGCTGAAATTAAATTGATGCTAGCAAAACCACTAATAAAGCATCAATTCCATTTAGATCTAATAAATGAAACCAAACCAAATGAAGGCACTGAAATTATGGCATCTTTGACATAAGGTGGGAAATCTCATGATCGGCATTATGCTTCTATTTGATATTTTATGAATGTCTCTTCTACTTGAGATAAGAGGCACTTAGCAAATAGGAAGATGCTAACAACCACCCAATAAACACTTTTCAGCCATCCACCGTATGCGGAGGCTTTAAGAGAAAGGCCGATTTCAAGTGCAACGATCACAATGTGATACGAAGAAAAGCGTGTTCGAAGGCAGGCTTCTTGTTGAAATAGCTTGAATTGCTTTTAAAATTAAAGCCTGAATCCTTGGACCTGCATTCTTTTAAAAAAGTTTCTCCATTTAAAATAGATACTTATTTTAGGATATTTGAAAACTACAGAAAGTTTAAACTGAGAAAACTAGTATCTATCTATGTATCTATTTATATTTTTAAATTTAATCCTCACCCAAGGATATGTTTACTGGTTTTAGAGAGGAAGAGAGATAGGAATTGGCCACCTCTTGTATGACCCACATGAGCCCTGAACCAGTATCAAACCTGGGACCCCTTCAGTATGCAGGCTGACACTCTAGCCACTGAGTCAAACCAGCTAGGGCAACTATTTTCTATTATTTCTCTCTCTCCTTCAAGGCACATGCATTTAAACTTATCCAATTGGAATCATACTGTTTATAGTCTTATATCCTGCTTTTTCCACTTAACATACCATGAGCATTTTTCCATGTCATTAAGTATGCCTTGAATATGTTCTTGGCCACATAAAATTCCATCCTGTTGGTGCACCTGTTTTCTTTTAAGCTAAGACACATGCCATGTTCCTCTGTTATGCCGGACTCTTAAAAAGCCAAGGGAAATACTTTGTGTTGGTCCACCACGAGTCTCTTATGAATTGCTATTTTTGATTCCCTTTATAAAATGCACCCACAGTGCACACACTGGATATCGTGGGTGGTGAATAAGCCGTCGAAAGAAAATGCCAGTCAGCTTCCATCCACTTGATGTGAATCAGTCACCCACATCACCCTTACAAATATATAGTGTCACCACATTTCACCAATGCTTTTTCCTTTTTCTGTGACCGGCCACAAATGAACTTTAAACTCATAGGGACCTACCTACCTCCAAACAGTCTCAGAGCAGTTTTAAAGCTCTAATCACTCCAGAAATAAGCTTTTACAAAAGCATTTCTTAAAAATTTACTTTTACATTTAGTTTTGTGACTTTAAAAAATTTGTAAATTCTCTGGTTTCAGTCTGTTCAAATAAAAGGGCTAGCCATCTTCAGAGGACTGATGCTGTTTTAAAACAATCCGCTGCAAACTTTGAGGCCGGCTTCTTTAGGGTTATAGCTAGAAGTACTATCTGTGACACACACTAAGCATACATGAGGCATTCAATCCTCAGGAGGGCACTGTGGAACTATGTTCTTAGGGTTCTCTGCTGTGGGAAGTTTCTTTTGTTACAAATTGTTCTGACTGCAAGGCCAAGCCTCTAGGAGACAGATTTTTATATTTTCATTTCATTTTAAAGAAAAACCATAAGGATCTCCTAAAATGTGAACCTGGAATGTGTGTTTATATTGTGGATACTTTCATATTAAACCGAGCAAATTGAAGAATAATTGATTGGGCTCTTACTCCCAGGAAATTCACACTCAGGTAAGGGAACTGCTTCCACGTACTTTTAGTACATTGGGAAAAGCAACTTGAAACGGGTTAATTTAGTTCTGGGAGCTCCATTAAGCTCAGCACTTTCAGCGCTACCCCATGGATTGCATTGATTGACAAAGTCGTCTTTTAAAGTCTTCTTTTAAATCGGTTGCTGAGATAAAATTTGGCTTTTTAGTGTGCTTTTTGTCCTACCCAACCGTGTTTAAATCGACATTTCTGTTACCTCCCTTTTTTGGGAGGAAAACAAAACAAAAAGCAAGTGTTCAGATAAAATATTATAGGTTTATTTAAAACTTAATTCTCACCTTGAGTATGCAAAATACAAACTCCACAAAATGTTCATTTTTACTTTGTAGTTTACAAATATACAAAATAGAAGTTTGCTTAAATTTATATTACACATTTATTAAGGCAAGGAACTATATAGAAAAACACATTTGTTCTGCTTAAGGCATACTTGGGAATAAACCATTGTACAAATTATTGCACATCTGAAACCACAGTGCATAACAGACTGTCTGCATAAAAATGTTAAAAGTAAACCAGGTGTATTTACCTGACTTAGGTCATACATATAGATCGGAAGACAAAAATAGATTTTCCTTGTCAGAGTATGCAGCAGTTTGAGAACTTTGGCTTCCTCATTTGGTACCTTTAGAACCAAGACTCACCAAGCACCATCGTTTAGGCTATTTAAACACATTTTCTGTACCTGAATTTCTTCCTCTTCTTGTAATATCATAATAATGGCTTTTTTAGAAGGCAAAGAGAATACAAGGTGATCTTTATATGTATATTGCATCGGAACACAATTCAAGGGAATACTGGTCTTCCCTCCCCCACCCCCCCTCCCAACTCACGGATCTAATTTATACCCTGATATCCACAGCTTCCAGTCACCCCCTTGGCGTTTTGTAAGTCCAAGAATATTCAAGTCGGGTTTTAGAATTGGAATGATAGAAGATCCAGTCACAGACCCCATCTGTTCATTGATTTGTCTTTGGGCTTCCTCCCCGTCTCTCCTGATTATCCATTCACAAGTTGACTTGCTGGGAACTTGACCATGATTGTAGTGCTTTCCAGCTGGGCTCCTCCCCTCAATTGGGAAGACCGCGTAAAGGGAAAAAAAAAATACTGAATTCTCTTCTGGCAGTATGGGTCACGTCCACTGTTCGGGGATTTAAAAGTGCCTCTTCATGTGTAAGGCGAGGTGGTCCGACCTAGAGAATGCCCGGTCGCACTTCTGGCACTGGAAGGGGCGGTGCCCAGTGTGTTTTCGGTAGTGCCTGGTCAGTTCATCTGAGCGGGCAAACTTCCACCCACAGCCTTCCCAGTCACAGTGGTAAGGTTTCTCACCTGTAACAGGAAATAAATAAAAGCCGTTAAAGCTATTGCTAAAGGATGAAAAACAGACAGGTGATGGGCACACCTGAAACCTATGTCATTGTATTAACCAATGTCACACCGATAAATTTAATTTTAAAAAAATGAGATTTCTAAAAACAAACAAACAAACAACAAGAACAACAAAAACGACAGGGTTGAAGAAACATATACTATGCTAACACTAGTTAAAAGAAAGCTGGAGTAGCTATAGTAATTTCAGAGAAAGCAGACTTCAGAACAAGAGTAATTATCAGGGATAAAGAGGGGTGTTGTATAATGATAAGGGGTCAATTATCCAAGAAGACATAGCAATCCAGGATAAGTCCACTGAAACAGAAAGCAGATCGAATTTATCTCAGTAATAAAAACGGAGATGCAATAAAAACAATGACAATGAAGAATTGGCCATTTGAAAAATTGGAGCCCAAATATTAAAACCAACGCCCCACGTACCCTACTCTGACAGGACCCAGGAATGTCTTTATACCACTGAACACCATATTAATGTTCAGATTATAAGAATGTGTTATGTATATTCTTTTTGCTTTTTTTTTTTTTTTAAATTTAAGGAGGCATTAGCTAGATAGTTGAGCAGTGAAAACACACAAATCCACCTAAATCTACACTTCTAGAGGGCTACCATTTTCATTCTTTTCCAGTCAAGATATCACAGTGGTAGAAATGAATTTGAAAGTTATGTCTGCTAGTGTGTCTCTCCTCGCCCAAGCCAAGTTATAATAGCCTTATCCCACTACATTGGTCTGAAAAGCCACAGGAGGCTACTTTTTCTGTACCCTCATTTCTGTTATTTTCCTGAATAAGTACAACTCCACGACCTTGTGTACCTACGTTCCGCTGACCTAAACCAGGGTGCTAGCCATCGGAACCATTACGATCGTGAAATGTAAATAAAACCCAATTATTAAGACTAGAACTAAAAATAGGGTGAATCTAAAAAGGGAACAGCTAATAAGAATTGTCTAGAAAGAAAAAAAGAAAAAAAAAAGGATTAAAAGAAATCCCATCCACTGCAAAGTATAATTTCTTGATTACAAGGGCAACATTTTGCGAGGAGAAGCCCATGCTCAGCTTGGAATCTCCCCGCCTTCCAAAGGCCTGACAAAACCGCACATTCAAGCACTGATACCATCCATCAAGCAAAAGGCTCCTGGGCAAAAAAGCAGGCGCCCGGGTTTGCTGCTCTCCCGGGATCCAGGAGATGGAGGCGATAGACTATAAACCCCCCGCCCCTCACTCCTTCCCACCACGTCTGCCCCCCCCCGCTACCTGTGTGGGTTCGCAGGTGTGCTTTGAGATGAGAACTCTTCGTGTAGGTTTTGCCGCAATCCGCATAATCACAAGTGTGAGTGGCGGTCCTTTTCCGGGGCCACGACCTTCTCCCCCTCTTAGGTTTGGGCTCCTCTGGCATGCAGGACCCGGGTGGCATGAGCTCTAGGGGTGAAGAAGGGAGGGGGGGAGGGGATGGTCAGCCTCATCCCGTGGGCCCTGGCACACGCATTGCTCCCCCACTGCCCCAACAAGGAATCTCTCCCCCCCCTCCCCCGCCCGCCCAAGAAACTGACCTTGGTAATGGATTGGGACCTGCGGCTGCATCTGGTCAGGCAGGAAGGGTGGGTAGTTGGGCCCCGCGTGGGGGTGGAAGCCCGGGGGCAGCGGCAGGGCAGGATGGCAGTCCCTGCTGCCCAGCAGTTCCTCGGCCCCCAGGGTCGGGGTAGTCCTGTTGGGGAGCTGGCGCCCCAGGGGGAAGTCGTGGTGCCCCGTGGGCGGCCGGTGGCCGTTGCTGAGCGGAGGTCCCGTGCCCAAGTGGCCGACCGTGCACGAGGAGACGGCCTCCTGCTTAATCTTGGGGCACATGCGCGGCGGCCCGCCGCTGTAGGGCGCCACCACCGGGTGGCTGCCGTTCGGGCTGCCTTTGCCCACGCTGATGACCCCGGACGGGCTGCCGTACTCGCTGCCGGGGGCGCTCAGGGCAGCCTTCAGCACGAACTTGCCCATCAGCCCGCCCCCTGGCGGCGGCGGCGGCGGCTGCTGCGGCGGGATGTACACCGGGTCCAACTCGGGCCGCAGGAGCTCGGCCACGAAGCCGCCCGAGGGGCTCACGTCGTTGATGTCCGCCAGGTTGAAAGGAGCCGTGGGAGGAGGAGGGGGCGCGGATTCGCGGCCGTACAGGAGGCCGCCGCCGCCGGGGCCGCCGCCGGGGCCGCCGGGCGCCACGCCCGGGCCCCCCTCGGGCCGGATCGGGTAGCTGAAGCTGCAGGTGGAGGGCGCGCTGGCCGGGCCGCTGCTCGACGGGGAGGACGACGAGGAGGCCGAGGTGGACGAGGACACGGTGGCGGCCACGGACTCCTGATGGGACAGCGAGTTGGAGAGGATAAAGTCCAGGTCTAGGAGATCGTTGAACTCCTCCGTCTCTCTCCGGGGGGGAAGGAGCGCCGGGTTGCCGCCGCCGCCGCCGCAAGCCGAGCCGACGCCGCCGCTGTCCAGGTCGGTGGCCACGGTCGCCGCGGCGGCCAGGTCGTACTGGCGGCCGGGAAGCAGAGGAGGAAGCCGCTTCATGTGGGAGAGCTCCTCCCGCCAGCGCTGCGGGGACAGGGCGGGAGAGGGGCCGTCAGCGCCGGGCTCCAGCTGCCGCCACCCGACCTGCGGGCAGCCCCGGCGGCGCGCCTAGGGCGCCCGGGCATGGGGAGCCAGCAGCCACCAGGCAGGCAGCGCCCGGGAGGAGCTCCCGCGCCGGGGCTGCCATCTCCACCCGCACCCGGGTCCGAGGAGAGGCGCCGGGCGTCCATACGGAGGGGATGAGAGGTGGTGTCTGCCCTATGGCCTGTGAGCCAGCGCCTGGGCCCACCAGCCCGAGTCCCTCCCCCGTCAGATCCCCGGGACGCTCCCGCCGCCCCAGAAATTGGGACAGCCAGGCTCTCCCGGTGTGTCCTGGCCACGGGGCCGCCTACGCGCCCAGCAGTTCCCGGGCCCGGCCAGCGTCTGCGGACACAGCCACCTCCTCCCGCCCGGTGGCCCGCGCGCCTGCCCTGCCGCCTGCACCCCTGGGTGCGCCTCCCGCGGCCCCGCCGCATCCAGACCACACGCGCGTCCTGCCGAGCCGAGGGCGTGGGCGCCGTCCCGGGAAGGAGGCTGCGGGAGCCCGAGCAGGGTTCCCCGCCGCCCCGAACCCCGGGGTGGCTGGTCCTCGGTGACCCAGGGCTCCGCCCGTCCCCACCCTACTCACAGAACCCCCCCTTCCCCCAGCCCCGGCTTACCCCCATGGTCAAGGGCAACACTCACGTTATTCGGGGCACCTGCCGGACGCAGTGTCTTCTCCCTTCCCGCCGGGCCGGCCGCGAACGTGGAGAAGGACGGGAGCAGCGCGTCGCTGACAGCCATGTCAGACTCGCCAGGTGGCTGCCTGTGGGCCGGGCGGGGCGCGCACGGAGGCAGCAAAAGTCAGGGGCCCCACTCTTCTCGATCGCCACTCCGGCGTGTCCCACACCCCCTCGACCACGCACCCCAACATCCCTTCGCCCCGCGCTGCACCTTACCTCATTAATGTTGGGGGGGTGCCCAGAAGGTCCTCGGGAGACCGAAGCAGTGGGGGATACCCGAACCCCAAAGTCAACGAAGAGGGGAGGGGAGGGAAGACTTAGAAACGAAGTCAACACCAGAACCCCAAATTGCCCCGAGATCCTTCTTCTTCTTCTTCTTTGGATGAAATAGAAACGGTAGATGCCTGTTGTTGTTGTTGTTTTTTTTTTTTTTTTTTTTTTGAAAGTTCCTTTGTATACAAAAGTTCTCAAAAAGTCGTCAACTCTTATTTTTAAAAAAAATGGGAAAAATCAGCAAGGCGAGTCAAGATGGTCCAGTGGCCGGCTGCTGTCTTCGGCTCAGCAGAGTCCCCCGCCGCTGTCGCTGTGGCCGCCGCCGGGAGCGCTGGGGCTGGGGCCGGGGCGGCGGGCGGGCGGCGCCGCCAGGTGAGCCTGGCCGCGGCGGCGCGGGGCTGCGGACTGGGCGGCGGCGCGGGGCGCGGAGTCCGGGGGGCTGCGCGAGGCGCGCGCGGCCATGGGCGCTGGCCGCCGGCGGCTGGGTGGGTGGGGGGCCGGAGGGGCGGGGAGGGGCACTTGGCGGCTCCCGGGGCCGCCGCCGCCGCCGCCCGCCACCGCCTCTGCTCCCCGCGGCGCGCCCGCAGCGGCGCTCGTCCGGTCGGTCGGGCAGGAGAACTGCCGGCGGCCGCGGCGCACTCCTTACTTATAACTTTGGGCTCTCCCGCCCTTCCCCCCGCCTCCTACTGGCGGCGAGCGGCAGCGCGCCGGCAGGCCCCGCCCCTCCCATTCTCTCCCCGCCCTCCCGCGGCCCCCCGCGCGTTGCCATGGCAGCTAGATAAACAAACTCGGCGCACGTGGGGGCGGGGGGAGGGAGGGAGGGGCGCGGGCGGGGCTCGGCCGGGCCGTGACGCCAGCCCGGCAGCTGGCGGGCGGGAGCCACGCTGACGCCGGCGGCGGAGGGCCTGGCGTGGGGCTCTGCCGGGTGCCGGGCGCCGGCCCGGCCTCCGGTCTGGTCTCCGCGAGGCCAGGGGCAGTCCCTGGGTTCGAATCCTGCGGCAGAGAAGGCCGGTGGGGGTGGGGTGGGGTCGAGGGGGTGGGTTACGCGCTGGCCGCTGTCTGCGCCCTGAAAGCGCGATTATCCGCGTGACTCATCCATCCAGCGCTCTGTCCCTCCAGGACGCACGCGGGAGCCGGGCTCCCCCCGGCCCCGAGCGTGGGTGCGGGAGGGTGCTTGGCCTGGCCTCGCACGGCTCTTCGTGGGCTCTCCTGCCGGGTTGGGGGCTGGGGGGTGTTGGGAGGAGGCGGGTGCTGCCCAGCACCTTGCAAGGAAGACTCGGGGCCTGAGAGAACCGGGGTGGTGGGGGTGGTTATAGTGGTGATGGGGGTGGAGGTGGTGGAGGGGGGTGTCCCTCTCCTGGGAGGGGCGTGAAGAGCCCGGAACGGGGTAAGGAGTACAGGTTCTGACATTTGAAGGAGCGAGGAAGGCTCGCGATTTGCTCTGGCGTTTCAGCCAGGGAATCTGAGCACTGGACAAGCCACGCACTCTCCTTCCCACTTGATGGGTGAGAACCCTGAGTCACAAAGAGGTGAAGTGGCGAGAGGAAGGTCAAACGGCGACTCGCTCCCCGGGCTCGGGCTCGGAGCGGTGCGCGGTGCGCCTACCTCCCCGCGGGGGAGCTGGCCAGGAAGTGGGGCGCTGCGGGGCGGGGGTGGAGGGACCCCAGTCTCCAAAAGGGCGCTCCGCGCTGGCGGCTGCCGCCTCTCCACCGGGAAGAGAAGAGGAAACGGCGATCGTCAGTTCAGTCTTACAGCTCTGCCTCCCCACCTCGAGTCCCCCCTTGGTTTGCGATCAGTAGTTTTCCAGCCGGGAAATGCTTTTGCCCTCATCTGGTCGGCAAAGAGTGCCTTTTTTTTTTTTTTTTTTAATTTAAATAAACGTGAGTGTGGTGTTGGATATCGCTTGCTGAACGTCCGCCTGCGAGGTGTTTAGCTTGGATTCAGGCGCGCTGCCGAGTCTCGCTGGGAATCGCTGCCGCTCAGGCCTCCCGGTGTGGGGCCCGGAGACAAGAGCGAAGAGGGGAGGCTTGGAAAAGCGTCGGAGCCCCGTCCCTGGGCAGGGTGTGCACTCACCTCCACCGAGCTCTAGCTGCCTACCGCTTTAAGCCGTTGTCACCTGTCTGAGTCCCGAGACGATGGTCCCTATGAGGTGTCCTCTGAGTATGTGTTATCCCTGGTTTTCCCCACTCCTTACCGACTTCAGGGGCATTCTTGGGATGCGTCCCTCCCCAAATTCTCTGGGCCGCTAGGTCCTAAGTCCAGAGAATCTGACTCCCTGGAAGATGCCTTCCATCTTCTGACTGGGCTTTGGCTAAGGGCCCTGAAGGTGGCGAAAGGAGCGGGCGGCCTTACTTTGACAGGAAAATCCTGCCCCTCCCTCCCATGGCCTAGTGGGGTTCAACCCCACCCCACAGGAGCAGGCCAGTTACTTTAACTCTGAAGATACTGCCCCTTTCAAAAGGAGGACTCAAGAAAGGAAACACCTGTTACCCCCCACTGCCCATCTTTGTGAAGACAAAACATTACTTGGGATGCTAAGACTTCAGGGTTGTGTGGAAAAATTATCCACTTTTTCATGAAGGCCAAGGTTCCTAAACCCCAATGAACTTGGATGAGCCCTTGATGGGCAGCCATCACCCTCAGGATGTAGACATGTAAGTCAGGACTGGGAGTTTCCAACTTAGGTAGCCAGTTCCTACAGTTTTTCTCTGCTTTGTTTTAATTTTTCCAAGTAAGGTAGTGGTAGCACTTGCCCTTTAACAAAATCACCACAATGAAGAAAAAAAAAAAACCAACACACACAAACACACACCATATTACCCAGATGAATTGGAAAGCCACTATTATTATGTCATATAATCAAGGCAAGATTCTGTAACTCAAAAAGACAAACGTGAATTTCCCAATCGGTTTTTGAAGGAAGAAAGCCAGTCCTCCTTTGGTGAGTCTTATGATTGCATCATAAAGAGAAATCTCTCTGTTCACCTCAGATTTCTAAAAGAGGTAAGGAACTTCGCGTCCACAAATCATCTCCTTTCAAGGCAAGTGCCTGGTGTGACAACAGGGTTATGACCCTCCCTCTCTCCAGAACAGGTAGGTCCAGAAGAGTTAAGTTCCTGCCCTGTATAATTTATAAACATGAGGATGAGTAAACCTTTGATGACTAAATTGTACTTCTAAAATAATAATAATAGAAGACACCCTTTCAAGAAGAATTAAATACTTACTGGTGACTTTATTTCAGCAAACCGACATGACAAGTTTTGTGGTATGGAAGTTAATTATTAACGTCCTTGGAATTATAGATTTTTTTTTTTTCAGTACAAACGGCATGGCATTCGTAGGCAGGAGGTGTGATGGAGACCATTAGTGCTGGGGGATAAATAAGGAGCCTTGCAGGGGTGTGATAGATGGAGGAAGCTGCGTCAAGGTCTCCGTGAGGGCTGCACCAGAACTGGGCCCTGGATCTGGGCAGCTTCTCCACAGGACATAGAAGGAGCTGGTTTTATTTATTTTTTTTTTGTTTTATTTTATTGGGGAGTGGGGGGGGGGGGAGAGAAGCTTTTAATGAGGAGAGAATAAGAGATAACTTGAAGCATCCAAATTGTTTTTGAAGTGAAATACCTCCTGATGAATAACCGTGAGAGGGGTTCCCTCAGCCTCCACTCACATCTCCTTGGAAACCTCAGCTCTCTGAAGGCCTGGTCTTGTGCAGAGGTTAAGAAAGTGGGCGGGAGCACCAGATTTCTTGGGTCTGTGTCCTGGCTCTGCTGCTTTCTAGCTGGGCCAGTTGCTTAACCTCTCTCCGCCTGTCTGTTCTTCCATGAAATGGGGATGTGAACAGTACCTATGTCTTAAAGGGATGAGGAGGATAGGTGGGATCTTGAAAGCCTGGAATTTAGCACAGGACTTGACACTCAGCATGTGGTGGGGTGTTACTATCTCCAGTGTTCCCTGGGGAACCTTAAGCTTCATGAGGACAGGAGTAGGTATCCTCAAGTCCTAGTCCAGGGCCTGCCCAGCACATGGTCATGCTCTGTGTTTGTTGAATGAATGAAGAATGTGCTTTTCCTTTTTGAACAGTCTGTCAGCAGGAAGCCCATCTTCCCTTTCGGTTCTCATCAATCCCCATTCTTGTCAGGAACCTCCTGTCACCCAGACTCTTCTCATAGTTTTCCCCACATTATTTCCTCATTCTTTCCCCGGCTCCCCAAGCTACAAACCTAGGTTTCCCTTGATTCCTCCCTCATTTTTTTTTTGAATTGGGCACCCAGGCATCTAGGAAGTTCAGCAGTTTCCATTCCTAAGTCTCTGTCTGTCTGTCTCTCTCCTATTACCAGTTGGGCTGCCTTGTTTCAAGCTGCCCTTATGGGTAGCTTTTAATTATTGCTGTAACTTTCAAACTGTTGCCTCTCCCTTTCACCTTCCCCATAGTCCCACTGGAATTTCCCTGCTAGATCCCATCCCCTTGGCGCACCAGCTCCCTTCTGCTCACCTCCCTGCTGCCAGCTCCCCTCAGGCCGAGGGAGCAGGACCCAACTCCTGAGCCTGATGTACCAACCTCTTCCCAGACTACAGGATCATCTCTGGAGACTGGCCCCACCCTCCCTTAAACGTTAACAGGATGTTCTCTCAAGTCTCTGAACGCACACAGTGTATTTTCACTGGCTGTTTCTCCTGTCTGAAATGCCTCTTTTTCCCCTCTGGGGCCCTCCCCATTCTCAAACCCCAGAGCCCCTCTGAATGGTCCCCTGGGCTGTTAGTTCCCATCCAGGTTCGTCCTGTTTC